AAAATTATTTTCTGTTAGAACTTTTAAGGGGTTTTCCCACTAGTTTTTAGCATCCAGTGTTACTGTTGAGAAATCTGATGCCATATTGCTTCCTGCTCCACTGTATGAAACCTCTTTCAGTGTTTCTCTTTTTCTGAAAGCTTACAGGCTTCTCTCTCTATTCTGAAATTCTGAAATTTTACAATGATTATGTTGGATACTTGGTAGACTATTTCAATTTCAAGAGCAGTGAACTTAATTCTAGGAATGTTTATTGTATTATTTATTTAATAATTTCTTCTGTGTGCTTTTTTAATTCTTTTTGGAACTCCTTTTGGTCAGGTGTTGGACTTCCTGGATCGGCTTTCTAATTTCCTAATCTTTTCTACTTTCCATCTTGATCTTTTTCCCATTCTGAGTAATTTTCTTGACATTTTACATTTCTATTTTTATTTTTAGCTATCACTGTTTTTTTTTAATGGTCTTTTTTTTAAATAAAGGTTTTCATTTATTTATTTGAGAGAGAAAGAGCGAGAACAAGTGATCAGGGGGAGGAGCAGAGGGAGAGGGACAAGCACACTCCGCACTGAGCATGGAGCCCGACATGGGGCTCGATCCCATGACCCCGAGATCATGACTTGAGCTGAAATCAAGAGTCAGATGCTCAACCGACTGAGCCACCCAGGCACCCCTTAGCTATCACAGTTTTAATTTATAATAGTTCTTTCTGGTTCTCTGGTTTTAAGTTTTCTTTTACCTGTCTTATCCCTGTTTCCTGAGAGAGAGCGAGAGAGAATTCATGTACCTGTTTTGGTTTCTCTCTTGTTAGAGCTTTACTCAAATATCTGATGATCCCAGGTTGTCCATTCATATTTAAGCTTAAGTGGGGCATGTTGACTAAAGGCCTTCATATTAGGGTTATCAAATAGTGAGCCTTTTCACTGGAGTCACTCAAGGTCAGCATCTAATGGCTTTTCTCTCGACTCCTTGGTGCATTCAGAGAACTCCTATCTCCTATGAGGGTGCCAGTGTGTTTGATATCCTGGGAGCTGAGTGGGAGAAGGAGGCCAACAGTTCCATAATTCATCACGTATACTTGCACTTAATCCCAACTTTCAGCCTCAATATTACCCCGTTCTCCACTATGCCTGGACTCCCTGAGTCTGAAACCTGTCTGGTTCAGTTTCTCCAGAGAATACACCCCCGTTCTCCTGTGAGAGTGTGGGAAGTGACAGACACTTGGATGTGCAAGATGGGAGAGGGGCCCCAGGGATCCAATTTATTCTCAGCCCTGCACCTCTTCCCTCTCCACTGCCTGTATCTGTAAGCACCAAGCAGGCCCTTAGCTTAAGTGCCTCCACTCTGGCAAGTCAGCTCTGTTGCTCCCTTCCTGTTCTCTTTGATCTTATGGATGAACACCCTTTCCTTTTCCTTACTGTCATTCTGATGAAGACTCAGGAGATGCGGTAAACACCAAGTTGAATGATCAGTCTTCCTCACACTTACAGGCTGAACCTCCTCAGAAGAGCAACTGGAGACAGAAGCATGAGTCTTTCATCCGTACTCTCCGTCACGCTCGAGAGGTCCAGCAGGTCATTGCCAAAGGTGGAAACCCCTCAGACTTGCCTCCCATCCTGCCTGCAGAAAATCCAGATTATATTCAGTGTCCTCACTGTAGCCGACACTTTGCTCCCAAGGTGGCCGAGCGGCACATTCCCAAGTGTAAGACCATTAAGAACCGGCCTCCACCTCCAAGGAAGCATTACAGTTGAGTGGACAATGGTTGGAAGCCTCAGAAGGCTCTGCTTCTCTTCAGCAAGAAATGGGAGTAGAATAATTTGATGCAAAACAGAACTAAAACTTTTACATCTCCCACATCTGCCTGCAGAGCTTAAATCAGTGAGGAGAGACCCATTGCTAAGCAGCGGGAGGCAAAAGGCAGCTTCCCACGAAATCACCACCTCAGGCTGGTGTGCCTTGTTAGTGCCCTAAGAACTGATGGGCGAAGACTCAGGAGTAGTGAGCAGGCTACATTAAAGCTCTCTTCTCGCAAGGCTGACCTGTGGTTTGTGCTAAGTGCCTGTGTTTGCTGTGCCTTCCTGCCCGGCTCTGCATGTATGTGTGGTTCCTGTTCACTCTTCTTGCTCTTGCAAGACGTCGGTTCATGAGACTGAGTTGGTGTCAGAGGATCATGATTACCCAGGTGGTATCTCATAAAAGATAATATGATTTTGCTGTAAGGCAAATGGAAATTCATCCTTGACCTCCGTGATGTATGGTCCTGGCCAAAAGCCAATACCAGTATGTAAAGTTAGGGCGCCAGTATATCCTGAACCCTCCTTGCGTGTACTGTGCCATAAAGGGAACCTCATCTTTATGTGCTTTACATGGTAGGGCTGGGAGAGAGCATCCTGTATGCCTCAGTAGTTGCACTTGGCTAAAGGATTTCATATGTTCCCTCCCACCACCCCACAAAAAAAAAGGAAGGAAGGAAGGAAGAAACTTCAGTTTCAGCTATTGCTGGCATTCTGCTTTGAAATCAGGTTGGGTGTATGGCTTTTTAAATGCGGCAGTAAAATCTACCATCAAAGCAAGCTGGGACATTGCCATGTCACATGTCCCTGCCCATTATACCACAGTGAACTTCTCTTTTATTTTTTATTTTTTAAAAGATTTTATTTATTTATTTGACAGAGAGAGACAGCGAGAACAGGAACACAAGCAGGGGGGAGTGGGAGGGAGAAGCAGGCCTCCCGCTGAGCAGGGAGCCCGATGTGGGACTCGATCCCAGGACCCTGGGATCATGACCTGAGCCGAAGGCAGACGCTTAACAACTGAGCCACCCAGGCGCCCCTGAACTTCTCTTTTAGAAAGTAAACTCTGATGAAAAAAATACCGGATCTTTTAAATTTTTTCTGTGCAGAATTGTGCATACTGCAGGTACTCTTCACAATTAGACCTTCAATTAATGGGTTTGGGGATTTAAAATTAACTAATAAAATGAGTAAGTCCTAGATTGGTCAGATGGGAGAAATGATAAGGTAATGCCTGTCGGCAGTAGTATCAGTTGAGATAGGATGAAGATAGAACAACAGATCTGAAATAACAGTAGGATTATTGTCCTGAGAGCATCACTCAAATTGTTAGTTTAAGGGGCGCCTGGGTGGCTCAGTTGTTAAGCGTCTGCCTTTGGCTTGGGTCATGATCCCAGGGTCCTGGGATTGAGCCCTGCATCGGGCTCCCTGCTGGGCTGGAATCCTGCTTCTCCCTCTCCCACTCCCCCTGCTCGTGTTCCTGCTCTCGCTGTGTCTCTCTCTGTCAAATAAATAAAAAAAAAATCTTAAAAAAAAATTGTTAGTTTAAAATACTGGAGAAGGGGCGCCTGGGTGGCTCAGTCGTTAAGCGTATGCCTTTGGCTCAGGTCGTGATCCCAGGGTCCTGGGATCGAGCCCTACATCGGGCTCCCTGCTCTGCTGGAAGCCTGCTTCTCCCTCTCCCACTCCCCCTGCTTGTGTTCCCTCTCTCACTGTGTCTCTCTGTCAAATAAATAAATAAATAATCTTAAAAAAAAATTAAATACTGGAGAAAAAACACCCAACCTGATGTGGGCCAAGGTGACTAAGCAGACAATAAAACCATGTTCTACTAACAACAAATGACCACTCACTCTTGTTCCATTTCCTCTGCAGCTTCTGCTGAATGGTTGGGCTAATAGATCAGACCAATTTGAAATGTGAATTTAAGGCTTTAGCTGTGAAGCTACAGGGCTCTAGGCTGAAAAAAAAATGTACATACTTAAAAAACAGTACCTATTGAATTGCTTTATGCTCTTCTTAACTGTTGCAAAGAAAAAGAGGGATCACATAGTGGGGCCTTAGGTTGGCCACTTGAAGAAACCTCACATGCACACTGCATATTTAACCCAGTATATACACTCCCCAGGCAAGTCTAGTGAAGTACAAACTGTTAGGTTTCACACTTGATGGTAAAAGCAGTAGATGGCAAGAATGAGCTGTGGCCAAGGCCGCAAAGTGGTAGCCTATGGACTGCTTTGTCCTACAATTTGACATAGATCTGACATTTAAAAACTGGGATATGGAGAATCTCTTGAAAAGCCGGAAGTTCTGGAAATACCAGGCCAGCAACCCTGCATAGCCCCAACCGCGTGCTCCTTCAGACGGGCTGAGCCGATCACCACAGCCCCACCTGGCCCGCTGCACTTACTCACCTTTCCTGCCTGGCCCCACAGGCACTTGGGTTTGGGATCCTGGATGATGTGATTAAGTTCACAGGTCAGGGCCCTCTGGGGAGAACAAATATATGTGTGGGGAATGCCTTCTGTAGACACAGGAAGCAGTTACTCATTCTTATATTGCTGGAGAAGTAACGCAATAATCAATGCCTCAGTGTTCCCTCCAATCTTAATAATGCATAGGCCTTGATAAGATTAGGAATATTTATTAGTCTTTTGAATTTAGCTTGATCCGGTCTTTGGGAAGAGGTCAGAACCCTTTTTCTATCTAAGTTCCTTCCTGGATAGCAGAGGATGACAGTGGATAATGATGCTTGGTACTGTCCATGTGTGATACTTTATCCAAGAACCTTCAGTACAAGCAAAAGTTATAAATTTTAAAGTTCAAAAGATTAAGCAATGGGAAGAAAATCTCATGGTGAAACTCACTTCATATAAAAGTACATGCAGATGTGGTGAAATAGTACTTCTTAACAGCAGGGTATTTAATGCAGCATGGTACCTTTTGGCCAACATTTGCTTTTGGTCATTAATTTATCATTCTTCACGACTATAAAGGAAGTAGCAGAGATGTGATACAGTGTTTTTCTCTCTAATGTTCCTGAGTCTGTGAGGTTTAGTGATCAGCATGTTTATTTCCATAGTTAATCATTGAAGTAATAAATGATTTTTGGTTTTGTGGCAGGAAGGAATATGTTTTGTAGTCCTGACGACGGCTAGCCCAGTCTGCAGGACACTAATGAATAATACTTCTTTGGAGGCCCAGGGATACTCATTTGAAAGAATTTATTTATAATACATCCTTGCTCCAGAGTTGTTCTTTCTATTATGGATGTTTCCAAATATATGGCAAATCAAATGAAATGTGACTTTAAGGCCGCTTTTACTTTACACTTTAGTGAAATGCTCAGCCAAGAGAAGTGATAACTTGGCTGTGCTATGCCAGGGAGACCAAATACAGTTCACCCTCTTTGAGGGAAAACAGTTTTGTAAACACAGATACACATTATCACTTGAAAAAGCCCACTGTGATTGAGGAGGTGAGTACAAGAAATGCTCCTTCCTCTTTCAGTGGCTCATTTTTTTCCTCCCTCTGCACTTTAAGCACTGTATTTGAGAAGTTTGGGGGGAAAAAAGTTATAGCAGCACAAATGATTGTTAGCAAGAAAAAGAAACTGGAAAAAAAAGCAAAGATTATCTGTGCACATGTCCCTTGTGTTGTTTCTGTTACAAGGTCTTTTATTTATTTAGATAAAGACTCATTGAATCAAAGATTCACAAAGGCCTAGTATCTGGGTGTTTCATCCCCAGTAACTAAGGTCCATGCGCAGGCATAGCACTGATTGAGAGTTTAAATGTTTATTTAAAACAGAAATGCCAAACCACTCCACCCTCAACCTTTCAAACATCTGGCTAACAATGAGCTAGTTCTTCAGCAACAATGTCAGAGCAGAGGAGTAACTCAGGTTATACTATAACTCAAAAGCAATACTACTGGGAAACTGAAAACACCTAGCACTGCAGAAAGAAAAGCAGGACAAACTTCAAGAGAATTAGCTACAGAAAACCATTCAAAGGCATTTCTGCTGCCTTTCATTTTTATCTAATGCATGGCTGCCACCTTTGAACTGGTTTCTGTTTGCATAGCTATTTGGTGGGAAAAATCATATGGCTGTCCCAGGCACAATTGGGAAAGTGCAAATTGTCTCTAAGGCACAGAACTCAGATTCTCAGCCAGATTAACAGCAAACTAGACTTCCCGAGGGAACATGCTAGAGAAAATGAGCAGTGTTCCCCTGCTAGAGAATGGCTCCCCTCCAGAACAAGAGCAGTGCTCTCTCCTCCCTTCCATGCTCACTTCCATCCCTGTCTCAGCAACATGCCCCTGTTCCTCAGTTCCACAGCAGAAGCAATACTCAGGATTAACACCCAAACTGAGCCTGCCTCTCAGGCCTGCTGAGATGGTATAAGGGATACAGGAACGTGAAAAGCCAGTCAGTCCTTAAAAAAATCAAAGGTGCATTTACATGATGAACCAAAACCCACTGCTGGGGTTTACAGCAAACCCCCAAGTCCCCAGAACTTGTAACTTTAATCTGGGGTTGGCCCCTTCCCTTATTTTAAGAAAAGGCTTTAGTGATTACGTTAGTACCATTGTACTAGGCTTCCCAGAATTGAGAAAACAATGGGAACATCAAACCAAAGAAAATCCCATTGAACAGAGTTGCCCATCCCCAGCCATGGGGTTTTCCCCAAGCATCAGCCTTTATCTCACCAGTTTTAGGGCAATGGCAAAATTTCCATTGCACAGGTCCTTCCAAAATATTAAAGAGATATCAAACATTCATTTTTTGGTTTGGGGAAAATGAAACAAAAATTAATTCAGTGGTTTCTAAGGAGGGAGAATGTGAGACTCATCAAGGCAACTCCTACGGCCCAAAATACTAAAGGAACATTTCATAAGGTTAGGTGAAAACACAAAGCTCACATTCTTAAGTAAAAACCATCAAAAGCTTTGAGGACACTCTCTCTTTGGGAAAGCTAGCTTGCTCCTTGTCTATAAGGACATAATAATGACTATGGGATTAGAATGGAGCTCTCAGCCAAATTCCTTTCACTTGGCAGCTTCTACCTGTTCTGTGAGGCTTCAGGGACTACCAGGTTTTGGTGCTGGCTTTGGGCCACTCAAGTAGGAAAGATGATACAGATTCACTGATATAGCTTCATAAAACACCAAAAGGGGACAAATACTGACTAGACATACAGAAAGGGAGTGGTTGGGGCTGCTGAAGTCAAAGTTAGAACCCTAAGAGCCACGAAGGCAGAGGCATTCTAGACCTTCCTAAGATACCAAGTAGAGGCAGCTAAAGGAGGACCTCTCTCCCTCATGGTTTTCTCTTAAGGCCATTCCTATTGCCCCACTGATTCAATTTTCTAAGAGACAGCTCACCTTTTTGAGGTACCTTACAAAGTCAGGAAATCCTACCTGCATCGGCCACAGATGGCAACCCCAGCTGTGTGACGAGCAGGGACCCTAGCCTTCTTTCTCTCCTCCTCACTGAAGACATTTTAATTGACCCTCAGAGGAAAAGCAATCTAAGCCCACTTTTCCTCCTAAAGCATTTAGCTGCGCAAAGTAACTGAACTTTCTGAAAACAAGCCCTAGATCGACTCCACCAGACATATTTTCCCAGACTCAGGGCTCCAGAGAAGGCTTTACCACTTTACCACTCTCCAGATGACCCTGCCTGGGCCCCACCTGGTTCCAGCCCACTCGAGTTTCACACTTTTCTCTCCACCCAGAGGTGCAATGCCTGGTGCTGAATTCCCAAGGCAGCTTCCAAGTAATGGTGAAATGATAAATGGGATATAAGCTGCTACCAGCAAAATTAAGGTGAGCATTGTGTCTCCTCTTCGAAGGTGGGATCACCAGATGAGGTACAGAGCTGCTGTTGCTATGGCAGTCACTGAGGACAAAGCCAGGGCCACAGGGCCCTTCCATTCTCCAAAACAAAACCACTCCTAGATCCTATCTAATAGGCAATGCCACTCTCCAAGTGTACACGGAAAGTGCTTCAGAGCCTCCGCCTTGCACTCCTTGTCTGCAAGTGAACAAAGCCAGGAAAGCGCTCTCTGCATTCAGTAAGTGTGCTGTGAAGTTCTTTGGATCCCAGTTTCCTGGAGGCCATACAGGCTCAGGAGACTAGAGGCTGGGTCGACAGGAGTCTGTTCCCAGGAGGCACCAGGAATCTGAATCTAAGTCAGGCTTTGGATCCATTTCCATCTCTTCCTTTGCCGTCTGAGTTCCTCTGGAATGCATCCCCACCTGTCCACACAAAAAACAATACTGTCACCAGTCACAGAGATTCAGGACTAGGTTTCCAATGCTGACCTCTAAGGATCTGTAGCCACAGTTCTGTGACAAGCTCCTAATACTACTTTAGATAATACTTTAATACTACTACTTTAAATAAAATCCACACCTTTACACTTGCTGCAGGTAGGATGACCAACTGTTTGCTCAGGACTGTAGGATTTTCTGGAATGTAAACTCTCAATTTTATTTTGTTTTCTTAAAGATTTTATTTATTTATTTATTTATTCATTTGAGAGAGAGAGAGAGAGAGAGAGAGATCATGAGCAGGGGGCAAGGGTAGAGGGAGAAGCAGACTCCCCACTGAGCAGGGAACCTGATGCGGATTCACGCGACTCATGCCCTGAGCCAAAGGCAGACGCTTACCCGACTGAGCCACCCAAGCGGCCCAGAACTCTCAATTTTAAAACTAAGACAGCCCCAAGCCGAACAATCGTGTGTGCTATAGCTGCCGATCACCCCATGCTTACCTCAAGTGAGTGTATTACTTTCCAAAGGACTTTCATAGACATGATTTCATTTAATCCTCAAAACAACCATTCAAGGTAGATGGTGTTATTTTCCTCTTTCAGGTGAGAAAACAGGACTCATAGAAACCAAGTAATTTGTCCAGACACATAAAACTAGGAACTGGCAAAGCCAAGGGCTGAACCTTATTTCCCTTTCCTGGTTCACTCTAAACAGGGCAATATACTATGGCAATACTTTTAAAAACGATGCAAACGGAACGCCTGCGTGGCTCAGTCGGTTAAGCGTCCGACTCTTGATTTTGGCTTAGGTCATGATCTCAGGGTTGTGGGATCGAGCACAGCATCGGGCTCTGCACTCAGCACGGAGTCTGCTTGAGATTCTCTCTCTCGGTCTCCCTCTGCCCCTTCCCCTTTGCTTGTGCTCGCTCTCTCTAAAACAACAATGCAAACAGCAACACCTGTGAAATGTTTTTACAAAAAATGCTTAATTCAAATATAATCAAGCCTTAAGTCTAACTTCCAGTTTATAGAAATGACAGGGTGACAAAAGAACAAGTTAGATAATGTCTGATAAAGAAAACAGAGGACAAATCCAGAATGTGGCCCATTTTGTTAAACAACTGACCCTGCTTCTTTAGCTAGTCAGTGCCATGAAAATTAAAAAAAAAAAAAAAAAAAAAAAGGTGATCGTAGTAGAGGGGAGTATTCTAGATAAAAAGAAACGAGACATAACAATGTAGTATAGAGACCTTAATTGGATTCTGATCTGATAAAAACAGTCATAAAGGACATTTTTGTGGGAAAACTTGGAAAATTCTGGATACTGGATGAAAACTGAGGTAATATTAGCATAAACTGTGTTATGTATGATAATAGTATGGTGGTTATCTGGGAGAATAAATGTATTTTTGGGTGTGTGTAAAAACTATTTAGGGGGCCTATGTCATGACTTTTATAATTTATTTGAAAATGGTTTAGCAAAAGAGTAACACACACACACACACATATACCCAGATATATTTTAAATACAGATATATATCCTCATATATTTTAAACACACATACACACACATTTAAAACAAGCAACATGTTAACAACTGATGAACCCAGATGGTGGTATGAGTATTCACTGAACTGTAATGCTTAGTTTTTCATAATAAAAAGTAAAAGAAAAACTAGAGTAACAAAAAACCATGGAAGTCAGGTGATAAAGATAATTTAACGCAGGCACCTGAACAAGGCCCAGGGCTGCTGGGATTAATTACAAAAGTTACATCATCAAAATATAAGTACTTGCAAAGGAGTAAGTCTGTTTTAGTGTCTATTGGTGTTCTGTTTCTGTGATTTTTCAAAACAGAATCAGAGATTGAATTATTCTTTTAATGCTCTCACCTGCTGCCCTCCTTCTAATTTCTTGTTCAGCTTCTGTAGTTGAGTAAAAATCTGGAGGTTTTCTTGCTGTAGCTTCTGTTGTTCAGCCAGACACTTTACCACCAACCCCTGCAATCTCTCAACCTCCCCCTGCAGAGTGCTGCACGCACAGGTAGGAGTTAATGGCGCTGCCTTCCCAGCACATGTCTCTGCAGAATTCAGCCGAGGTGGCTAAGGAGAGGAGGAAGAGGTCATAGGCGGTTCTGCCTGGATGCCACAGCTCCCCAACCCAACCTCCCTCTAAATGCTATCAGATTTTACTTTTAAAGTAACATGATAAACCATACAGAAACACAAAGTAAATGCAACAGGAGCAGAAAACGCTGGGATTACAACAGCACTTCGCTCTAACCTAACAGGGCAAGAGAACTCTCAGTGCCTCAGGCTCTGTTAGGCTAAGGTAAAAGAACAATCCTCTGTTTTGGAGAACTTCTGCAAACAAATTTAAAGTGCACTGATATCATCCCATTGAAAATGCTGAAGTGGGGGAAGGCATGATTTGGCTTGGAACAAGTCTTTCTGATCACAGTTGAGAACACTGTGATCCAAAGGGTCAATATCCATGAAATGTAGTGGATCACACTTTAGAAGACATTTGAGAGGTGTTCAGTAAATAGTACTGCCAAAATAATTCAAGAAAGCTAATTGACAGAGGAATTAAAACATTCATCTTGAAGTTTCAAAGGTTTTATTACATCTTTTCTAGTCTGGATTTCTCTCCCTTCTACTGTACTTTGTTTATAGGAAGGGTCAGCAAATAATAGCCCCTGGCCAAATCCAGCCTACTGCTGCCTGTTTTTGTAAATGAAGTTTTATTGGAACACAATCATGCTCATTCATTACGTATTATCTATGGCTGCTTTTGTACAACAATGTCAAAGTTGAGTAGTTGCAGAAGGGACTGTATGGTCCATAAAGCCTAAAATAATTACTCTGTAGCCCTTTATAGAAAAAGCTTGATGACCCCTGGGGTTTGCATTTGATTGAGGCATTTACCACAATTTGATTTCTACCAAGGTTAAGGCACACAATTGTGCCTCCCTCACTAGACTACAAGCATTATTTCTTACTCATATTGAGAGCCTCCAACCCACACTAGCAGTGTCAAAAAAACTGGATTTGAATTTTGGAACTTTAATTTTGGTACTCCTGAGGCAGAGAGAAAAGACAGACAGTCCTCTGGTGTAGAAAGCTGTTAGCCCATCAGGAATCTGAAAGGGTCAATACTTTTTTCCAAGGCAGACTCAGGTAAGCCTAGGGCTTTAAGCACTACTGAACAGACAGTATAATGAGTTGATATAGGGCAGTGAGAGACCGAGGAAGCTAGGGGAAATGGCGAGGCCAGAAGAAGTGTGGAGAGCTCTCTGCCTACTTAGTTGTGACTTAAAGGCAAAAAGTTCAGTTACCCAGGCTCCTACTGGGGGCTTGTGTTCCACAGGAGCTTCAGAGGCCACTTTGAGTCCTTGTAGCTCTTCATAGGGCAGGGTATCTTTCTCAGATTCTGAAAAAGCTGCACTAAGGGGAGATGGGCTGTCAGGCATGGGGATGAATTCTGCATTTTCCAGCTCCTATGTATAAGAGAAAGAATCTCATCAGTTCTGTTTGAGCGGTTTATTTTCTTTCTCCCCAATTCCCATCTTGCTCCAGCTTTCCCTCTGTTGTGACATCAGCACCCTCTAGTGGGGCATGACAGTTGTGGGTTCAACACAGCTCACTGTACCTGTCAAGAGCAGGCAATCCCTTCCTCAGATGAGTAACAGCGATTCGAATTCAAACTCAAATTCAAGAACACAGTTTGGAGTGTGTGGCACTTCTCCCCAACACACTTATTCTACACAGCCTATTCAGTGATCTGGGGAGCTCGAAGGTGATGACAGTGAGGCCAGTGGCCAGGCTGCTCAAGGCTGAGACTGAAACTTCCTCCATTCCTACTCCTACGTGGCTATCGAGTTTAGTTGTCTTATAAGGGCAGCTTTAAATCTCTAGGTTCTTTTTTTTTTTTTGGTAAAAATTTAAAATTTCACAAACTACAAATGCTCAATGTAGAAAATGAGAAAATACAGATGGGCAAAAGGACTAGCAATTCCATCACTCATGGATAAACACTGTTAAAATGAGGAATACTGCTTTCAGTCTTCATAGCAGACATTCTTCTATGCATTTATATTTTCTAAGAGAATGGGGTCCTGAGGCTAAGGTGTTCCAACTTTTTCTGCCCAGTCATATGTTGTAACCAACTTTCCATCCAAATAAATATACTCTAACATTTTTACTGTCTGCAATTCAACTCTCATAACCCATCTCTCTACTATAAAACATTCTGACTGCCCCAATATTCCACTTCTACAAACCACAGTACAAAATCTCTAGGCTTAACCTTTGCATACATGCATTACAAAAACTGCCTTCAAGGAAGGTTTCCTTAATTTACTTACATTCATGTAAGTACTACAGGTATGAGAACATTTTGTGCCTCTCCTTGTCAGGAAGAAAAAAGGATTAGAGATTTGGTAATTTTGTTCCAGGTGGAAATCAGAAGACTCAATGCCTGCTGTAGAATACTTGAATGGGGCACGGGACACAGAAAGATGCCGACAGCTCCTTTCTAGTTGCTGCAAAGGGCCTAATGTTTTATCGAAGATACCTCTGCCAAAGGAATTACCTTTCGAAGCCAGCCAGGGCAGGAGCTGCTGGCCCCACTACTGATCCCCATGGCCTCCGTGGGACTGACTAAACCTTCCATTCCTCGGTCTGCTTCCATTGTTCCTCGGAAGCCTCCGCTCGGATCAGGAGTTTCAGATTCCTGCTGACTGTCCTCCTCTTCTCCCCCACCGCCGCCGCCTCCTGGGCTAGAGCTCTGAACCACTGACAGATACACAGCACAGAAAGAGAGAGCCTTGCTATGCAGCAAGAAAGATTTACGATCTTACAGCCCTGCTGACCCCTGGGGAGCTTCCTAGAGTCGCATGAAGTAATAGCAACAGTGTAAGTCAGATATTTGGGACTCAATTTTTAGCTTTTACACAACGTATTGAGTATCAGTATCTTCATAATGATAATTTATTTCTACATCCCAAACTTACTTATCTCTATGTTCACAGCAGATTATCAGTGTTCTAAAGCATTGCTGGACAATCACCCCAACCACAGCTAACTGAATCTACCACGCATACTTTGATACATCCAGACTTCGGCATTGTCCACCAAGGCTCAGCGAGGTTTCATATAAACACAAAGCTCTTTCACATTTGAGCCGAACACCTTTTAAAGCTGCCAGATAAACTCACCACTACCTTCCTTTCTGGAGAAGTCTTCAACCATTAAATTCATTAAGTTCTTTGATACCTACTTGTAAGAATTTTTAAACATGGCTGGTTCTTTCGCATCATGCCGCACATTCCAAGTAACTGTCACGAAATGAAGACTAGCTGATGTGTAGTCAGAAATGAAACTGAATTTTAGTATGGGCCAAAAATATATATATTTAAGAAAGTAGATTTGCCAAAGCTAAAAAAATAATTGTATGGTATATTCTAAAGTTAAACGTAAAGGACCGTCATGATCACTGGCTCCAGCAGCTTACAGACGGACTGCCACACTGATCCCACTGAAGCGGCAGAACCACAGATGCCAACAAAAGCTCTGAAGCTTGTTTTGTTTTAAATGGCTTTTAAAAATTAGGATACATTTGAAATATACATAAGACTACTTTTAACATACGTGTAAGTTTTGCTACCTAACAAAATAAACAAAAACATAAACCTACCACTAGAAGAACTAGAATTGTACTTTCCAATATGGTAGTCACTGGCCATATATGGCAATTTAAATTTAAAGAAAATAAAAAGTTCAGTTCCTTCAGTAGCTACTTTTCAAGTGTTGGATAGCACAGACATAAAACACTTCCACTGTTGTGGAAAGATTTATGGGACAGTGCTGAACTAAAACATTACCTGTATCGCATCTGCCTTGTGAACTCCTTCCTTCTCTGGCCTCCTACCTAAACGTAACTACTGATTTAATTCTGTATTTATCATTTCTTCTTTAAAAAAAAAGTCATCACATATTCATGTATCCTTAAGCAATATATTAATTTGGCTTGTTTTTTGACTTTATATAAAAAGGCACAGAGTCTGCTGCAACTTGCTTTTTACATTTCACATTAGGGAACTATTTGTAGATGTTCATTTCTACTCTTCTGTAATATTCCATTGGATGATTAGAACACACTCAACCAACAAATATATACTGAGCATTCACCATTTGCCGGGCACTCTTCTAGGCAATGTGGATAAAACTAATGAATTAAAAAAGACAAAAACTCCTGCCTTTATGGAGTTTACATTTTCCAGCCAATAGATATGTGCCTTTAATCTTATTTTTTCCATTAAATACTGTTCCACCAAAACAAAGCTGTAAGAGAACAGCTGTGTTTAGCAAAAAGATTGTCATTTGTGACAGATATTAACATGCACAGATAAATGCTGAGCAAGAGATTACTAAAGGAAACTAATAAAAGGTATGATGTATGTGTGTGTAACTAGAGTACAAGTCCAGATCAGATATTTACCTTTCTTTTTTGAGGATTAAACTGCTTTTATTCTGGGTCTTTATCTGCTTTGATTCTACAAACTATCAGAATCCAGGTTCTGAGATACCAAAGAGTAAAGGTACTTTAGAGCAAATGGAAAACCAAAAAGGAACACAGATTTAGTTTCCTGGCATAGTCCCAAATAACAGAGAACCATGCAGAAAGCAGCCAAAGGAAAACTATCAGAGAGCTCTGGGCTGATTTTTCTAACCACACTGAAAGTTTAGCCAACTTTTAATTCCAAGGGCCTGTTTTGAAGGACTATTTCTATAGACTGGAATAACCCTGTGAATATGGTGGAAGTAAAGAGCAGACAGAACTCATAGCCCCTAGCATGGTAAGGAAAGGAACAATACACAAGCCACATTACAATATTGGGCAAGCCACTTAATTACTTCCATATGCTTGGTTGGCAAAGATGTACTCTCCCTCTGACCACAATGTAATAAAAGTCATAACTTATTGTGAAATCCACCAAAATATGATCCTCTCTCTTGATCACCGTATTCCTCATTTCCCAAAGATATTTCCTATTTCCCTTTTTTGGAGACTACATGGAATCCAACCCAAAGACCCAAAGTGCGAAAAACCACTGGTACCTGAGACATTGCTACTTACCAGTTCTGATGGATAAGCCGCTGCTATTGGAACGGATGGTCTTAGAATTCAATACTTTCTCTGAGGAAAAATATTCAGTAGGTAAGCATTGTAAACAGCTATAGGCAGGAAAAGTGAGAAGACTAGAATAGGGGGTTAATCTACAAGATAACAGCTATCCCTCACTCCAGGTAACTTTATAATTACTTACTATTCTAGCTTTTAAAGCACCACTATATTCACTATGTAGTGTAGCAATTCTCCACTTTTAACTATTCTTTGGAATTACCTGAGAAGCTTTAAATAGTAACAACACCTAGGTCCCACCCCAGAGATTCTGATTTAATTGGTCAGGACAGTGGATTTCTAAAAGCTCCGTGGGTGATTCTAATGTGCAGCTAAGGTTGTGAACCACTGATCTAAAAGAATGGACTTGGAAACCCTCACACAGGCTTTTATTTTTATTTTTTTAAAGACTTTATTTATTTATTTGACAGAGAGAGACACAGCGAGAGAGGAAACACAAGCAGGGGGAGTGGGAGAGGGAGAAGCAGGCTTCCCGTTGAGCAGGGAGCCCGATGCAGGGCTTGATTCCAGGACCCTGGGATCATGACCTGAGCCGAAGGCAGACACTTAACAACTGAGCCACCCAGGCGCCCTTCACACAGGCTTTTATAATTCAGTTCATAACAGAGTAATCTTTATGCAGAAAACAGTTATGATTTAGTTTCTTTTCAAAGGTATCCTGAATGTTTCTCACAAAAGTATGAATACAGACAACCAATTAATTAGTGGACAACTAGAGATAACAATTCTATAGCAAAGGAGGCAGAGCCCAAAGTTATCATGTTAAAAAATGGTCAGAAGGTGGCAAACAACAACGCTCAGGAAATGACAGTGTTCTGTCCCACCACTAGGTAAGGTCACCATTACTACACTTATAGGAACAGCCTCTTTTCTTCAGGACACTTCTGTTTCTAAGAACGTGACCATCAGAATCTTAGGTGTGAGTCTACCCTCTGTCAAATCCACCCCAACCCTCACGTATGAAACCCTTACCAACAATGAGAATGGTGTGCCAACCACGGCAAGATAGGTCCGGGACGTGATGCAAAGATCCAAAAATAGGCCGAGGCCATGAAGTACAGATATCAGAGCCATGTGGTCTCTCTGTGGGGGTCATTGCCAGGCGACCATTACCACCATTGCCCCAGGCAAAAATGTGATTATCTAGGAAAAAAATCAAACAGTTTAATAGAAAACTAATTCCCCTACTCTTTGGGTTCCCCATCTTTATGTCCTAGAGTTAGAAAGATTTTCCACTATGTACAAAACAAGGAAAAGCTATTTATTTCCCTAAATAAAACCTAAACAATTCCTGATGCCAACCTGGTAAAAACGACCACTTCTCCTATGTACTGCCATCCATCCACCCATCCACTCACTCAACAACTTTTTTTGGTCATTCACTCAGATATAAGTAAATATCTGGGCATCTACTTCATGACGTGCACTGCTGGAGGTGTAGGAATAAAGCAGTGAACAAAACAAAGTCACTACCCTTGTGGAACTTACATTCTAGTTGGAGGAGACTGGTCAATCAACCATCTAATACTTCTGGTAGTCATAAATGTTATGAAGGAAGATAAATGGTAAAGAAAAGTGGAAATAAAGAATAACAGTGGGGTATCATTATTTTAGATAGAGTAGTCAGAGAAGTACTTGTTGACACTTGAGCAGAGACCTGCTTGAAGTGAGAAAGAGCGATGTGGATAGCTAGGGGATGAGTTTTCCAGGCAGAGAGAACAACAGCAAGTGCAAAGGTCCTATGTGGGTAACATGAGTATCATGAACAAGGAATATGAAGGCCCCTGCAGCTGGAGCAAAATAAAGGAGAAGACAGTGGTCAGAGAAGAGGTCAGGAGACAGATGCGGTCCTGGTCATGTAGGGCCATGCAGCCCATTGTAATGACTTTGGTTTTTACTGACTGAGATAGGAATTCATTAGAAGTTCTGAGGAGTAGGGGTGCCTGGGTGGCTCAGTCGTTAAGCGCCTGCCTTCAGCTCAGGTCATGATCCCAGTGTTCTGGGATCGAGCCCCGCATCGGGCTCCCCGCTTGGCGGGAAGCCTGCCTCTCCCCCCTCCACTCCCCCTGCCTGTGCTCCTCTCTCACTGTGTCTCTCTCTGTCAAATAAATAAATAAAATCTTTAAAAAAAAAAAAAAAGAAGTTCTGAGGAGTAGGGGCACCTGGGTGGCTCAGTCAGTTAACCAACTCTTGGTTTCGGATCATAAGATCATGCCCTGTGTCAGGCTGTGCACTTAGCATGGAGCATGCTTGAGATTCTCTACCTCTCCCTCTGCCCCTCCCCCGCTTATGCATACCTCTCTTGCGCATGCACACTCTCTAATAAATAAATACAATTAAAAAAAAAGAAATTCTGAGGAGTAGTATTTAGGTATTTAAAAGGATCCATCAGCCTACCATGAGGAGAATCAATTGCAGGGGACCAAGGGTGGTAGCAGGAGACCAGTTCTAGTAGTGAAGATGGTGGGAAGTGGGTCAGATATACTATGAAGATAATCAATAGGATATGCTGATGGATGGGATGTAGGGTATAGAATGAAGCTGCCATTTAGTGACATAGGAAAGCTGTAGGAGGAACAGATTTGGGCAGAAAATCAAAAGTCTGATTTTGACTATAGTAAGTTTGTCTGAGATGCCTATAACATCTTATGCAAATCAGAACACTTTTTAATGAAAAGGGGTACTATTAATGATTAAGCCTGGACAATAGGCATGAATGAGGACTGACTTGGGAAAATTGAGCTCTAAAGCCACCCTACCTTTAGACATCTAAGTCCAGGGGCTGATGAATAACCGAACCTGGAGTTCAGGGGTGGTGATATAAGGCTCTATCAGTGAATAGGGGAAATTTAAGGTAATACTCACTTAATGGAGACAAGGCAAGAAAGAAGGATTGAGTACTGGGCATTCCAGGGTTTGGAGGGGTCAGATACTGCTATCAATGGCACCCGATGTATCTGCCTGTGCTAGATTGTTTATATGACTGTCTCCCCTACCCTAGACTGTGAACTCCTTAAGGACAGGGGCTTTCTGAGACCCTCTTTTATATTCCCAGAGCCTAAAAGAGGACCTGGAGTACAACAGGTACTCAGTTTATGTTGGTTGTGTGAATAGGATGATAAGAGTACAGTTCAGAGATGTACAGAAACATTTATTAGGAGGTAATATGCCCAACCATGGAATTCAATTCTACATTCCTCATTCTGAAGTTAACCTTGTGAAGGACACAGATGTACTGAAAAAACATCACCTCCTCGAGGCCCTGTCAGGAAGTGCTACTGGACTTGCAGCACTTATTTAATCCTCAGTGACATTCTCACTCTGTCTTTGTAGGTAACATTTCCATTTATCTCCATTAAATTTATTTCCATTTTAGTCTGACCTTAACAGCTTGTCCCTAAAATCCCTCATTTTGGGACCAGTGGGGAAGGTTAACATGCCACCCCAAAAGCTGGTTCACTTAAATAAATATGGTAATAGATCACTTATCTGACACTGTCCCTGGATCCCTCATGTGTATACAACAGGCACACACCAAAAGGAAACAAAGACACCTTAGATCATGAGCAACAAAAAGAGCTGAAATGAGTCAAAAGATGAAATGTGATTTGTTGTTCACCAGTCACAAGAAAGAAGTGGCTACAACAATCAAAAAAGTTCAGAAGGGGGGCGCGGGCGCCCAGGTGGCTCAGTTGGTTAAGCATCTGCCTTTGGCTCAGGTCATGATCCCAGGGTCCTGGGATCGAGCGTGCTTCTCCCTCTCCCTCTGCCGCTCCCCCTGCTTGTCAAATAAATAAAAAAAATCCTAAAAAAAAAAAGTTCAGAAGGTGATACAGGAAAGAGAGAAAAGAAAAAAAGAAAGCAGGAGAGAGGGAAGGGAATAAAGACTCGCTCAAGTGGTAGTAAAGAAGAAGTGTGGTAAAAGGAGCAAGAAGATGCTGTGAGATGCAAGAAAGAGCAATGAGAGGAAAGAGAAGAAAATTTAGTTATGCCAATTCCAATTCTGGAAGCCAAGAGACACACAGTATTCAGCCCTTCAAGCCTTAGCAGTCCCTGAGGACATCACTGCAGTGTGGCTGACCCCGGCCAAGGAGCAAGGTTACATTATGTCATTCTCTCCAGTCACCCAGCCAACATTTATTGAAACCAACATGGTGCGGGGCCAGGTATATATAGAAATATTTAATAATTCTTAAAACATTTAACCAAAAAAGTTAAAGTAAAAAAAGTAGAGACTTAGAATATTAACTTTGCCATTATCTAGAAATGTTTTTTTGTAAAAGCAATCACTACGTTGAACACATGAGAAGTTAATGAAAGCTCCATCTGCATAACAATTGGACACCAATTTAGCGTAAATAAAAAGTAAACATACGATGCAGCTATATAAATAACCAGTCCACCTCCTTCCCAGGCAAACACTAAAATACAGCTATCGTCCAGAAAGCTTGGAATGGTGTGTACAGACTCACCATCTGTGGCAGCGATGGTAAACTCATCACCGCAGGAAACCCTGATCACTTGCTTCCCACCTAGGGGTCCTCCCAACAGGTTGATTCCTAGACGCTTCTTGTAATTCCCAACGCCCAGCTGTCCACACTTGTTGCAGCCAAAGGTCAGCAGCCGGCCTCGCTCTAAGAGAGAATAAAAACAAATAACCAGGCACAAATGGGGCATGGAACAGAGGGAAAATGCAGCCAAAGTAAAGTTCCATGGACTAGCTTCTGGTTGTTAAGAGCATACAAATAGAAAGCTAGCCACACAATCTTGCACTTAGGGCAGCTAGGGTATCTAAATCAATGACCAATTTGACTCAGGAAGTGACTCAATATCATATTTTCTCTCTACTACTGTATTTCATTTTTATTTTATTTACTTAAGATTTTATTTATTTGTCAGAGAGGGAGAGAACAAGCAGGGGGTACAGCAGGCAGAGGGAGAAGCAGGCTCCCTGCTGAGCAGGGAGCCCAATGTGGGACTTGATCCCAGAACCCTGGGATCATGACCTGAGCCCAAGGCAGACGCTTACCAACTGAGCCACCCCGGCATCCCTCTAATACTGTATTTTAAATGTGGAAAATGGGTACTACCTAACTTAGTAAACTCATAAGTGGTACTAATTAAAAGCAGTAGTTGTCTGGAATTATGGGCATGGCATTCTCATTAAGGGATGTAGTGACCGTGCATTTATAATGATTACCAAAAAAAACATTTACTTGAATGCCTAATTTGTTAATGAGATAATACTGGATGCCGGGGGAAAACAGGAGAATGTATATATTGTTTTTTTTGAGAATGTATATATTGTTAAGAAGAGCTAATACTTGCGGCACCTGGCTAGTTCAGTCAGTGGACCATGCAACTCTTGATCTTAGGGTTGTGGGTTCAAGCCCCACATTGGGTACGGAGATTACTTAAAAATAAAATCTTAAGAAAAAAAAAAAAAGGAAGAGCTAACACTTGAGAGAATAAAAAGCATGAGCTACTGAGGCCTGTGTATAAAGTTGTAAATCAACTCACCATCAATAGCAGCTGTGTGAGTCTTGCCTGGGGCAATTGTACGGATCTTATAAAAGGACAGTTGTTTGGCCAAGGTAAAGGAGGTTATGTAGGGAACTTCATGGTATGCCTGGAACAAGGTAAAACACAAAGCAAAGACTCATGAGGTAAAAATGAAGGGGTAGTAGGCTGACAATGTTGTCATGGTGACCAAAAGGGCTTTTAAGCTAATTTGTTGTTAAGAAGGAGGTGCCAGCTAGCTTTACATCCAGTAGAATACAAGATGAAATAAGCTCAGTACGTAGAGAATTTAATTAGTGTATGAGGCAGGACTTTCTGACAACAAAAGTTTTAGATACCTAATCTAAGAGTATACAAAACGTGAACTCTGTATCGCAGAAAGTATCTACGTGAGGATAGAGCCATTTACATTCGTCTTGGTTATAGATACTGCAAACCTAACAAAGGCAGGGCAAAGAACTAAAATCTTGAGGACTCTCCAGCCCATAACGCAACCAGTTTACTATGATCTAATTTTATCTACAAGGCAATGTTCTCAACATATTAAAACCCATGTTCCCTTTAGATTAGCATTAAAAAATTCCTCTCATGTACGTTTAAAATTTCACAACAAACCCAATGTTATAATAAAAACCCAAATCAAGTAATGGTAATTCTAAATATGCCTTTTCAAACTATGTAGACACCCTTCCCAGGCTTGCTCCAAATTGGTATTCTCCCAGTTGAGAATCATTACTTTAGAGATGGCTTAAAAATTCTTTTTTTTTAAAAGATTTTATTTATTTACGAGAGAAAGATAGAGAGAGACAGGAGACAGACAGACAGCCAGACAGAGTGGGAGAAGGAGCAGAGGGAGAGGGACAAGCCCAACTCGGTGCTCCATCTCAGAACCCTGAGGATCATGACCTAAACCGAAACCAATAGATGCTTAACGACTGAGCCACCCAAGCGCCCCGCTTGAAAATTCTTATTCACTGAGTCAGGAAACTTTTGTTTCTCTTTTTATTTTAAGTAGGCAAAATGCCCAATGTGGGGCTTGAACTCATGACCCTGAGATTAAGAGTCGCATGCTCCACCAGTTGAGCCAGCTAGGCGCCCTTGGAAACTTTTGTCTCTTAATTTGATTCTTTAGAACATAACAAAACTCATCATATTAACACAAAGAGGAAACGAAGACTTAATATCAGCAGTGAATTTCATGACATCCTTGAAGGAAGTGAATGGTAATTACATTCACTAAGCCTGTATAGGATCAGTGATTTGGGAGCAATAAATCTAAAAAAACTCTTCAAGGAGGTGATGCATGAAAACATTTCTTTTAATGTTAATTTTCTTGTACCTACTTCAATGATAGGGTAGAACCTGAATTCCATCACTTGGTTCTTTGTAATCAATTTATTTATTGAGGCATAATACATTATAAAATATTGTATAGCTTGAAAATTTTTCTGTATGCTTATAAGTGTAAAACCACCACCCAGATCAAAATAGAGACCATTTCTATGATCCTAAGATCCCTTCTGTTAATACCCATACCCCTTTTCCCAGAAGGAACCACTACTTTGACTTCTGCCATAAAAAACTCCACATAATTGGAATCACATAGTGTGTACTCTTACATGGCTGGCTTCTTTTGCTGAACATAATAATGTCTGTAAAATCTTTACTCTTAGGTCAAATTCCATGATCACTAACCAACGGCATTCCCAAAGAAATTCTAACCTAAGAGATGTTCTCACAGTGTGGTTAGGGCACCAAAGAGGGTACTTACTTCATGGTTGATGATTCCAGACATGCACTGATTCAGACCCAGCTTGTTGAACTCATTGAGTCCACAGGCCAGCACTTTGCCTGACTGAGTCAGCAGAAATGTCCCATCACAGCCACACTGAACTGCAACAATAATCAAGGCCTTGGGAACATCCACCTGTGTGAAAAAAAATCAGAAAAAAATAAAAATCCCCAAACATAACTTGCATTAGGAAAAAAACCTTAAATTCTTTCAAAAGTGATGTCCTGCATTTAGGAGAACTGCCCACAGTAAAGACTGCTATATCCTCTTCAGATTTTTCCAGCAGCTTAAAGACTATGGTTTTCAACAAGAAGCTCAGGTTTGATAATAAAATAAAAGAAGGCAATGCCAGGTTGGCTAAACAGACAGCCCTGTCAAAGTTTGTTTTAGAGCAGGTCCTACTTAGAAAGACTTCTCAGAAAACACTGGGAAAGGAGAGGCTTCAACCCATCGCTGATTTTGTCCTCTGAGATGGTAGGCCCCACGACAGCTATAGAAGGAACTCAGTAGCCCTAAAGGGTCTTAGTCTGGTCATATTACAAGTGAGGTGACAGAGTACTGAGATAGCAGCCAGGACTTCCAACTGCTCACATCCCTCTAAGCTAACTAAACAGGGCTGGGAATGGTACAAGGACAGGATGAAAGTCTGTGAAACCTGAAATCTCAAACCTCAGTGTTTCTACTACAGCCATCCCCCACAAATAATACAAGTTAACTTTTTAAACGTAAACAAACAGAGTTAACAGTGAATGGTATAGCTGATTACAGTCAACCTTCCCGTGGGCAGGAGAGCCAGATGACCACGCTCTCCTGCAGCTGCTTTCAGCTCCCGAGCTAGCTCCTGCAGGGCTCAGAGTAATTAGATATTCTGTTTCATACAACATGACCCCTAAATACAAACAAACACATATTTCATCTGGTGTTCAACTGTGGAAATCAGAAGGGAAAATGGCTGCATTGGGTAAAGAGATAATATATTGCTTTCCAGTGTCTTCCCAAGGAATTTTCTGGGGTGTATTTAGCTGATGTGACTTTTTCATGGTACATGCCGATTTCAGCTCTCATTCCTGAGGAAAATGTGACTCCAGAGTGTCCACAATGGCTGTATCCTCTCTCTCGACTACTTATGATTTAGTCAGATGACAAGGCCACATAGTGCTAAATCAGGAATTCTGGATTGTCAGTCTCCCAGATAGAAAATATTTCAGAAATAAACACCTTGACATGAGAAGTCAGAGAAAGAGGAGTCTGTGTTATTACTGAAGTCTGTGTGACCTAGTTTAGGAAGAAGCTGCTTCTGAGTTTACCTTTTGGGGTGTATAATAATCCTCTTCTGAATCCAAACCCAGTCGTCCTGAGACACACATAAGAAAGAAAACCATTAAAATGAGGTCCTCCTTCCCAATGAAAATGTTCTGTAACATTCTTTCTTACTGAATCAACACTTCTCAAGTACAGGCTAGCTACATGATGTGTTTAGAGACATAGAAGCTTGAAGTCAAGTTGGCTCCTGGGAATAAACGGACAGAGACAAGGCTATACCTACCATACTCGCCACAGCCCCAAGAATAGACTTCTTTGTTTCGTGTCAAAACCACCACATGATTATCTCCACAGGAGGCCTGCTCCACTGGATTGTTCAGGAAGAAGTTCAGCTGCATGGGTTCTAATACTTCAGGCCCAGCAACCTTGTCTACCCCCATGCAGCCATAATAATCAGAGCCAAAGGCATAGAGCTGACCCTCATCTGCAAAAGGAAGGAAGGCATAACCCATCAAAAGAATGACTTTGTCCAATCAGAAAGCTGGGCAGGGATAGAATGAGACTATCCCAGCCAGGGATCTCATATCAAATGATTACATCAGAGAAATCCAAAGGACACACTGTGCAAGTCTAGAGTTGTTTTTATTTAGGGGGTCACGGGTACTATTATAACAATTTTTAAAAAGTGGTAGTCATGTTGAAATTTTACTGTGGCCATCTCTATTTTCTAGAGAAAAGGAAAAGTAAGTAAGGGCAAGACGAAAACTAAACTTTAGCACTGGGTATGTATGGAAGTGATGAATCACTGAATTCTACTCCTGAAACCAACACTGCACTGTATAGTAACTAACTAGAATTTAAATAAAAATTTGAGAAAATTTTGAGGAAAAAAATGTAAACGGCTTAAAAAAAACTAAACTTTAGCTCTTTTTTTTTTTTTTTTAAAGATTTTATTTATCTGACAGCTCACAAGCAGGGGGAGCAGCAGGGAGAGGGAGAGAGAGAGAGAGAGAGAAAGCAGACTCCCCACCAAGCAGGGAGCCCAATGCAGGACTCAATCCCAGGACCCTGGGATCATGACCTGAGTCAAAGGCAGGCGCTTAACCAACTGAGCCACACAGGCACCCAAACTTTAGCTCTTGATTCCTGATTTGGTGTTATCCATATCTGAGGAGGTGGTAACATTACGTTCCCCCCCACTGGAACATACAACGTATTTCTCCTGATCCCACCTCTTCTCTGTTATCCACGTGCCTTTCCTTGCTTATCACCCACCCTAATACTACAGCAAATTGGGGATGTTGTTATTAATGTGTATATCTGCTGTCTTTGGTTCTTCAAATACTATCTTTTGCTATAAAATCCCAACTGAAACTGCACAGCATTAAGTACAAAACCCCATTTAATTGCACTGGGACGATTTCTGTTGATGGCTTACCTGTCACACAGACAGTGAAATCATCACCACATGACACCTGACGGATAGCTTTGCCTTGCAACTTTTCCACATGCTTTGGCTGTCGGTAGGAGGCTTTGTCTCCATGGCCCAGCTGACCATGGAGTTTAGTACCCCCTTGCATGTTCTGTGAAATAAAGAGGTCTTGTGAAGCTTTAACTTTTCATGTCAAAAGCTAATCTTCAATATAACTTCTTATCAAAAAACCATAGGAAAAAATCAGCTGGAAATTTAGAAATGAAAAAAAATCAGTAAGGAAATTCAACCTTTTAATGATAGGTAGTTTATACTACCCCTGCCAACAGGTAAAGATTTAAAAAGCATCCAAATTGATATCCCTCAAGACTTAAAAGAACACATTCTCAATTCTGTCTTTCTCCTTCAAGTCTAAGGTGAACTTTTATATTTAATTATGGGTGTTGGTGAAAAAAAATTCTTTATGTAGTCTGATTTGACTGTTTTCTATAGCCTCTTGGAAATCCTTACTAGAAGTTTTTCAAATTTTGGTCATAGTTTCCCTGAAATATGGAACCATTATAAAGAATCTGGCTGCATCAAAGAGGCTGCTGTATAGCACCGAGAATAGGTCTAAATGATGTTTCAACAGTTTTATAGAGAAAAGTAATTCTCTTCAACTGTAAGTCCTTATATAAATGTTTTTTAAGGGACAATAATTTCATTCCATCTGTGGCAGCCCCCCAGGGGCTAGTTGTGTAAGGGACAGGGTTTTAAGAAAGTAACAGTTAATGTTCTATAACAGAGGTCAAATCCTTCATTCATTCTTTCAATCTATCAATAACTGAGCATCTACTCTGTCACACACTGGGGACAAAGCCTGTCCTTGTGGAGACGTTATCTGAGACTACTGGAAAAAACGAGCTCTCTCAGGAAGAAAAGGAAGAGTGAGAAGAACTGAGAGCCTAACACAAGGCCGGGTAAAGGAAAAGCACCAAGTGAGAAGGCACAAAGAGACAGGAGAAAAGCCAAGAGAAGATGCTCTCGTTGGGACCCAAAGGTTCAAGGAGGGAGAGATCAACTACGTCAAATGCCGCCAGGAGGTCAAGAAAGCAAGAACAACATAGTATCTGTGTTTTAAAAAATATTTTATTTATTTGAGAGAGAGAGAGAGTGCACAAGCGGGGGGCGGGGGGCGGGGAGCAGAGGGAGAGGGGAAAAGCAGATTCCCCACAGGGAGCCCGACATGGGGCTTGATCCCAGGACCCTGCGATCATGACCTGAGCTGAAGACAGACGCTTAATCGACTGAGCCACCCAGGTGCCCCCAAAGTATCTGTTTTATGTTTACAATTTATAGGTCATTTTATTAAGAGTAGTTTCAATCAAGTGGCAGGGATGGAAGCTGCATTGTAGGTGAATGAGGAGTGAGTGGGAGATAAGAAAAGAGATAGCAAATACAGGCAATTTGTTCCAGAAGCTGAGAGACAGGGTGAAATCTAGAAGGGAACAAAGGAAAATTCTATTGAAGATATGCTTAGCTATCCTCAATCACTGATACAGGTCTTAGAATTTTCCTATGTGGTACACTGCTTCATTTGTTTATAAAATTATTTCACAGATACTAGTTGCTCTGAAACTCACGGTAATAGAACAGAGTAATTAAGTGACTTTCCGAAATCACCCAGCTGTAAATTAGAGTCCAGTCTCCCGAGTCCAAACCTCGGGCTCTTTTCATTCTTTCTTTCCTTCTTTCTCTCTTTCATTCATTCATTCAAAAAACATTTACAAAAGACCTAATATGTACCAGGTACTGGGGAAAGATACTCAGTGAACTAAACAGACAAAATCCCTGCTCTCATAAGAGCTTACATTCCCTCACCCCATGCTGCCATTACCGCAGCACACGTTCAACTAACAAAATACTTCGACAGCCTCGGCCCAGTAAACAATTAGGCTTCTATCACTGTTCTAAGGTACTTAGCTTTCACTTACCACCCAGGTGTACAGTTCCTTCTCCACTGTGACCACAGCAAAGTGAGTATTCCCTGCACACACCTGCCGGGCACTACAGCCACTCTTGATGACATCCAGTTTCTGGGGAGTGGATTTTCCACCACCCCAAACATAGACTTCACTGGTTCGTGATGTTACCACAGCAATGGGTGCTTCAGTCACAGTGCTTGACCTGTCAACAACCCCCAGAACAAAGGCACATTTAACATAAAAAACTATATCAAAGAAAAATGCTTCCAGTCTGTTCCCAGAGAAGAACTGCCAATTATGGTATGAGAAAGTATGTTCTTTCTCGACAACTTATTTCAACCCTCTATCATAGAGGCCTTGCAATTCCTGCCTCCAGGCTTCATCACAGCTCAGCCAGATCAGATTCCAGTCTGGTCCATAACACCTACACTTTTCAACTTCTCAACATTCATCATGGTAATGATGTTCACTTCAGCATGAGGATGAAATTATAGCCTTCTGTTTTCTCAGAAATGATTATCTGACATTTATGAAGATGTTGGCTTCTCAAAGGATGCCAAAGGCTACTTACTGGGATCAAACAATGCATGGACCAAAGAAAGAAAGACCCCCTAATGGTAATTTAAGAGATATCACTTTTTATCAGTCTCCTAGGCATTACCTTGGTCTTTTTGTAGGTGCATTAAGCAGTGTGACTTTTTCCTCCATCTCTCTACCAAAAGAAAAGCAAAGATACATGAGTGAAGGAATAGGTTCCTACATTGTACCAGTGTCTCTTTAATACAATTCACAGATTTAATCCTCTATAAACCATATGCCTCCTCAAACATGACAATACTTTTGGAAAAGTAACTCAATACTATTCAAACAGTTATACGGGCCTGGCTTTGGACAAATCATTAGATATGACGGGGCCAGCAGTTTGGGGCCATTTGTTTTCTTTCGCCAAGAAACATTCCAAGCCGGAACAGAGAACCTAGAGAACTTCTGTTGCACATTTTAAATACCTGCTGATCTCTCCATCCAGGCTGCCCACTGACTTCCCAACTCACCATCTCTAAACCTCAGCTCATTCTCTTTCTCCCATACAGCTTTTCTTTCTGACTCTCCTATTTCTGCAACTGGCACTTCCCATTCTCCCAGTGGACTAAGCTTAAAACCTCAGTCACCTTTGACTCAGCTGTCTCCCTCTCTTCAATATTTGAGTCCTACAGATTCTACCTATACAACGCCCTTTACATTCACCTCTCCTCTCCAGGCTTGCCACGTTAGCTCTGGGCAGCTCTGCTTCCCACCTAGACTGCAGTAGCACCGCCTAATAGGTCTGACTCACCACACTGCCAATCCACTTTACCAGTCCTATACTGATTTAACACTGAGATTAGTTTGCTAAATGAGTCTTCCTTAGGCATGCCCCTTATCACATGAACTGCCCTCTCATAAACATCCACTACTGTACTATAGCTTGAATTAAGCACAGACCCCTTTGTCTAGCATTCAAGATTCCTACCTATCTTTCCAGCCTTCTTTCCTTCTACTTACTCCCCATATTCTAGCCCAGGGTTCTCGTTCTGTCTAAAACACTTATAGCTGAATTCCTGGGGTGGTACTTAGGCATCAGTAGTTTTTGAAAGCTCTTGAGGTGTTGCTATCGAGAGCCCCAGGTCTAGAACCACTAATCTAGTGAAGTAGGACTTAGTGTTTCCTGAATATTTTCCACAGTTTGCTATGTCTGTGTTTTATCTAGAAAGCTCTGTCTTATGTTTTTTCATCAAGTACAAAGTTCTAATGAAATACTGTGTATAAATCTATAATTATCTCGATAAAAATTGCAATTAAAAATTATCAATGGAAATATTTGAAAAGAAATTAAAATAGTGATTATACTGTTGGGAAATAAGCCAGATAAAGTTAAATATGTTTAACCAGTAGCAAAGGGCGATACTGCTGGAATATGTGCCGAACATAAGTGGAAGGTCACGGTGCTGTTTCTGGAGTATTACATGTAATTCTAGACATTAAAACATTGGCTAGACCTTAACTGGAGGAGAACCAGAAAAGATTAATTAAATGACACAACAAAATAAAGGTACTGACCAAATGACAAAGATTATGGAATTAAATATATACTTAATGTATCTAAGGGCAAGACTTGAAAAAAGAGCAGAGCAAGTTTTGACTACTGGGAAGATACAGAAACAAAGAACTGGTAGGGGAGGTAGAAGGACAGTAAGACAAAAACAGTATAACAGGATGAGAATAATAAAGGGGTGCCTGGCTGGCTCAGTCAGACGAGAATGCCACTCTTGATCGCAGGGTCATGAGTTCGAACCCCATAATGCGTGTAGAGATTACTTTAAAAAAAGAATAACAAAGAATACATCTTCCTTTAAGTTTGGGTTTGAAGCCTCCTATAGGACGTGAGGGATAAAGGACCTCCCTCCTATCTCTAGAGACCTCTAACACAGAAAAAATCTCAGGAAGTAACATGTCAACAATCATGCAACCTTGATTTCTGAAGTAGACTCCTCCAACTGCAACATACCATCTAAACGAATGCACTGAAACAAAGGCCCACTTTAAATCCATACTACTATCTGATAATTCTTGTGCCAAGCCCTGGGCTGAGCACTTTATATGCATTCCCTCCTTTAATCCTTACCCTACCTGACTTTATAGAGGAGAAAACTAAAGACCAGAGATGTTGAATAACTTGACAAAGAAAATACTAGAACTCATACAAACCTAAGGATGTCTGAGTCCAGAGCCCTCCTCTCTTAATTACTACACTCTAATGCCCTAACTCAGATTAAAACTCACAGACGAGGGGAGTGCAGAGCTCTAGGCTCTCATCAGTATAAATTCAGAACAAAACAGCACAGGCTAAGGAGATGAGAGTCAGGAGCTCCTCCCCAGCAGCAAAAGCAGAGATGCTGGTAGAAAATGGTACCAGAGCAGCCAAGTCAGGAAACACTGCCCTCTCTTGTGGTCCTCTCATCAGGCCTTTAACAGTCAACCAACCATAGAAAGACAAAGAATGGACTTCTCTGTACTTTACCTCCTGCGTTTCTTGAGAAGGGGGCGATCCAAAAGTTCATCTGCTGTGGGTCTCTGCTCAGGATCCTAAAAAGTACAAACTGGGTTAGTTTTAATTTAAAGGAAAAGGGCAAAATGGGGTCTAAAGAGGCATTTTACTTCCTCTTAAAAGGCTGTATGCTAATTACTCAAAGATCACTGTATATTATCCTTTTGTTTCAAAAAACAATTTCTTATGTCACATTCCATGTTTGATGCATATCATCTCACTGTCAACAACACGTGTACATGAATGACAATGCACCTTCCTTATTTGCTCAGTTACGGCACTGCTTCTCAAACTGCAATATATATGGCACAAAAGAATCTCTCAGAGTGCTTGTTATAAAGATTTCTGGGCTTTATCTACAGAGATTCTAATCCAGTTGGTCCGGGGTGGGACTCAGGAATCTTCATTTTTTATTTGTAAAACTCTTCCAACCCCTAGCATTTCTAATACCTATGGTTCAAGAACCATATTTTGAATAATACCAATCTAGAGCTACACAGAATATATATACAGAACTATATATATTCTGCACACTAGGAACTCTAAATTATCTCTGACTATAATTTTGTAAAATCAATCTACGAAAATTAATCTTGATCATAAAAAATGGAGCACAATTTAGAAGGTAAAATCATTTCACAAATTGATAAAGTAAGAATAAAGCAGAATAAAGCTTAAGGATTTGTTGCCTGAAACATATAACTATCATTAATTGCCAATGCCTATTCTTCTGGGTATAGCCAGCCACAAATATATCCTACCCTGGGGAAGTGAATGTGGCTTTGTGCAGGTTCATCTATGCATACCATACTCCAAACACTATGGTGAGAAGGGAAAACCCTAAACTGAAATCAACATGTAAGTCACACTTACCTGGTCAAGACACGCGTGGACCATTTGAATCAGTTCCAAAGAGTACTGGCTAGAATCAACTTCCATGGCCCGGATTCCTTGTACAATCTTCACACACAAGTTGAGTGGATTCTATGACAAAATGATTATTCTTGGTTATATAAAGATTACAACCTACTAGTAGGGGCTCTGAAATGTCTATTTTTTTTAAAGAAATGGCAATAGTTCTGCATTAGGTCTGATTTCTTTTATAACTATTAGTATGCATCAGCAAGAAATGGCTAGGGATACACTGTTGCTATCAGAAGGAATGAAGCCAAATGGCCAACAAGGAGATATGACTATGGAGCCAATAGTATAATACTCAGAGTACATTATAATCTGATCCTTCAACTGAATCTCCCCAAAAAAGGCAAGCAAGATTAGCCATGCTTCCTGGCTTTAAGTACCTCCTTTGCCAAGTAATCTGCCTCCTAATTTATATACCCTAAAAATGGTTATTCAGGGGATACTCTGCTGCAACAGATAAGGCAGTAAATAATAAGATGACAATGTCAATAATATTATAATAATAATACCATTAACTCCTTTATTGAGAGACCACAGTGTGCTAGGTAGGCACCCTTGCAAACCCCCTGTAAGGAGGTTATTATGATTACCAATTCAGAGATGTAAAGTAACTTGCCCAAGCTACACAGATAGTAAAAAATGGCGTCATAACTCCAACCAAAGTCTGTCTTGACTCTAAAACTCATTTTCCTTCCACTATATTACTTAGAACAGTTAGATGATATACCAGAATAAACTTTAGAATTAGGAAAATAAATAGGTCTCATGAAAGGCCAATGAATTTGCATTATCTTACATTTGCATTTTTCATATACATTATCACAGCATCTCTATGAGAAAGATATATATTTTTTCCTTGTTATAGATAATGAAATAGAGGACCAAAGAAATTCTGAAACGATTTGCTTAAGTTCTCACACATGGTTTGTAGAGGACATTGGATGTGAATCCACTTTTGCTACTCAGATTGGTCCATGGACTAGCAGCACCAGTATCATGTGGGAGCTTGTTAGAAATGCAGAATATTGGGACCCACTCCGGACTTACTAAAAAAAAAGAGTCTGCATTTTAACAAGGTGCCCAGGTGACTTCGTATGTGTATGAAAGTTGGAGAAGCACTGCTTTACACTGGGCTTTACTTAGGAAGAAAAGAAAAAACACTAAAAGGATTTGGTGTCCATTACAATAACAACCTCTAATATAAGAGTCAGTGTATAATTTTTTATAAAAAGATCAAAACACTTTAATGAGTATTACATAATTTGCCTTAGCTTTAAAAAAAAAAAATGATGTAGCCTAAGCATAAGAAATGAAATGGCTTATCCAAACAGCAGCGTCACATAGTGGATCCTAGAGTCAATTTCAAAATTATAGTCAACAAACTCAAGTACAATGCTCAAAGCACTTGAGTAAGATTATTTCAGTGGGGAACTGAAGTTAAAGATAAATCTGGTATACACCATTTTAATAATATGCTATACCAAGCCACTGCCTGAATACTTTGTTTTTTTTGCCTACAGCTGATTTCTGATGAAGAAATCAGAAACTCAGGGATAAAGGAATTTGATTTTCTCAACCAAGTTATACCATTTGCAAGGACAAGGTGGGGATAATACAACTTACTGTAGCATCAAATGTTCTCTTTAATGTAAGCAGTTCAAAAATGACACAGCCTACTGCCCAGATATCAGACTTGAAATTGTATTTTACTCCTTGGCAGAGCTCTGGAGACATGTAATATGGAGTTCCCACAAGCTGAACAACAAAGAAAACAATCAAAGAATAACTTCATTTCTGAGGTAACTCTATTAATATTTCAACAACTGAAGTAAATTTCTCACAAACTAGTGATAACAACTATAAAATATTCATCAGCATATCCCAAAAGCTTTTTATGAGATGATGGGGAGAAATCTTTTATCTTATCAAATTTCTTAGATGAATTATAAAGGGTAAAGGCACTGTGGTAATTTGGAGAGGCACAACAGTGATTCCTAGATCACAAAGGCTTTAGGCCCACTGAAGACTTCATACAGATAAAGACATACTTAGTAAAAGTTCACCAATGGAAAAAACAAAAACAAAAACAAAAAAACTGGCAGGGAGGAGATGATAAGTAAATAAAGGGGTCAAAAGTTCTAACCGAAGTGCATAGTACTGAAACTCTGTAAATTGCTGTTTGACCTCTGTAATAGTAACACAACTAGGGAAATTTCTTTCAAATTTGAAAAAGATCTTCTGCCTTGAGGAATGAGTTTGGAAATCAAAATGTCCTGAATGGAGGTTGTGTCTCTCCCCGGATGAAATGATGAGTACCCCAGAAGTTCTAATAAAACTGATAGCCATGGGCGCCTGGGTGGCTAGTTGGTTAAGCGACTGCCTTCGGCTCAGGTCATGATCCTGGAGTCCCTGGATCGAGTCCCGCATCGGGCTCCCTGCTAGGCAGGGAGTCTGCTTTGCCCTCTGACCCTATCCCCTCTCATGTGTTCTCTCTCATTCTCTCTCTCTCAAATAAATAAATAAAATCTTAAAAAAAAAACAAAAAACAAAAAAACTGATAGCCATCTTTAACCAGCAAAGCAAAGCAATTTTTAGATGGATTGTATGGCATTTATAAATCTTCATATCATTCCTTCTTTACATTTAACTGGCTAAAAAAAGTCAAGTCTTGGTTTTACCAGATTATACTTGATGAGAAAAATCCATATAAGGACATGATTGCTTCCTCAGAAGCTCAATATGGCACCATCATACAAGCAGACTGAGTTCCTGAAGCAGACTCCCAACCCTGGCTATTAGCATGTCTCTAAATTGCTTACAGGCATATCTTGACATTATCAAAAAATACCAACGGGGGGCGCCTGGGTGGCTCAGATGGTTAAGCGTCTGCCTTCGGCTCAGGTCATGATCCCAGGGTCCTGGGATCGAGCCCCACATCAGGCCCCTGGCTCAACGGGGAGCCTGCTTCTCCCTCTCCCTCTGCCTTTCTCCCTGCTCATGCTCTCTCGCTCTCTCTCTCCCTCTCTGTATCTCTGTGTCTCAAGTGAATAAATAAAATATTAAAAAAAAAAAATACCAACGGGACAAAATTAATTTTATTAACTTACATTTTCAAGTTCTTTCAAGGACAGAGCACTGTGAAACCAGAAGAGTAATAATTGGGTTTTATAATTCCTAAAAGGATGAAATCACTATCCTTAAAGATCAACTTATGTCTACTCTTTACCAATGGTCTTTCTTAGGATCAGGTGAGAAGGGAGCCCTGCAGTTGGGATGGCGTATGATATTAACACCAGATTGTTCTCTGCGCATCAGCCTTTATTTGTAGTACAGGGCTTCTGAACCAGAAAAATTCAGAGGAAACACAAAAAGAGATGTCCAACATCCTAAGCTCAAACACTAAATAAGAGATAAATTGAAATCTACTAAAGATCCTAGGCCAGAAAAAATGGTAGAGCATTTTCCTGTTTTTATTTTTTTAATTATTTTTTATTAAAGATTTTTATTTATTTATTTGAGGGAGACTGAGAGTGAGAGAGAGAGCAAGAGAGCGAGAGAGAACATGCAGGGAGGAGGAGCAGAGGGAGAGAGAGAAGCAGACTCCCAATGAGCAGGGAGCCCAATGTGGGACTCGGTCCCAGACCAGGACCCGATCTGAAGGCAGACACCCAACTGACTGAGTCACCCAGGCGCCCCCTCTTCCTGTTTTTAGAAAGTGTTGGAAAGGGCTGTGAGGTCAGAGCTGTGATGTGGACAATGACTCCTGAAAGAACATCTGAGCATGTAAATGCCTATTAGTAAGCACAGGAAAAAGACTCCTGAAGACTTGCTTAAGTATGGAGAACTTGCAAGGACTACTGAGAAAAGTGTGTGAGATGTGGAGTGGTGTACGGTTATATCTCATAGTACTGGAAAAGAAAAGAAAAAAAAATTAACACAAGGCCAACACATACTTACCGTCTCAGCCATGGAATACTCAGAATTAAGTTTCTTGGCTAGGCCATAATCTCCAAGTTTTATTAGGTTTGCCTTGGTCAGAAAAATATTTAATGTCTTTATATCTCTGGAAAAAAAGATACTGTGTATTAAACTCCTATAGACAATTGTTTTGTTTCATCCCCAACTCCGCCCAGAATTAGTACAGAATAAAATGAGTGGTTACCACTGCTCACAGTTATGGGATCCCAAACAGTGGTCACCACTTTCCCATGTACTTTAACATTGAAAAGGGGATTTGGGGGAGTGGAGGCAGAGAATTAACTTCGTTCTCCAGGGCTTCATAGCACAAGGATGTCTCCTGTACCACTGAGGATGTTAGGAAAAATTGAGAGGGCCAGATGGAAAACACAGCCCCACGTAATCCTGTAATTCCTGTAAGGTGCAATGCCTCTTCAATTACCATTTATGCCTTGAATTGGTTGGTGTTAAAGCTTCAAATCTGTTAAGGCAAGGGAAGGGGCTGCACATCCCAGCAGCAGCATGACTAGGCTGTGTAGCTCACCTAAATAAACCACTAGCTATTTTTCTAAAGATGAGCTGGTCCTATATAACAAATAAGCTGTGCCTGGTTCACACTCTGGCTTCCTTAAGATGTGAAAAAAACAGAATACTCTTTGTAACTTTTGAAAAGAAAATAATATGCAACTGTAGTAGCCATTCAATAGCTATTGAGAAGCACATGTTAACTGAATAAACAAACCAACAAAAAAAGAAATACTGGTGAATCAACATTAATCTCTAGCAATTATCAATGACTCACTTAAGAAGGGTATAATGTGGAAATGTTCTAATAGCTCTTTCCTATACTAGAAATGAACAGAAAGCTGTTTTTCCCCAAAGATCTGGTAAAACTGTACAAAATAGCTTTTTATCTAAATCAAGACTCAATTATAAAATTAAAAATACTTGCCAATTATTATTGCTCATAGAAAACATTTACCATGAATTGCAACCAATCTAATACCACTTCTCTTAGTGGCTTCTAGAGTTTACTGATGAATTAATGAATTGAACTCTTAAAATATCTCTCAAAGAAGTAACTGAGCAGTACTTGGTTACTGAGACTCTTCCTAGATCACAAACATAATTTAACTTCAGGAAGTGAAGGTAACACCCCTCATTACTCACTCTTTCCTTCCTAAATTATATTAACGGAAAAGCCTCGACTGCTTAACCAAAAAAATAGTAGTGCTGATGGGAGGTACCCAAGGCGGGGTTTAGATTGGTGGGGAGGAATCCATCCTGTTTATTTTTTTTAAGTAGGCCCCACACATACCCAGTGTGGAGCCCAACGCGGGGCTTGAACTCATGACCCTGAGATCAAGACCTGAGCTGAAATCAAGAGTTGGACTCTTAACAGACTGAGCCACCCAGGTGCCCCTCCATCCCATATTCTTTCACTCATTACCTATGAAGGATTCCAGCTTTATGGATACAGCTCACTGCTGAAACAATCTGAAATAGGTACCACACCACCATCTACAGAAAAAAAAAATTATATTTGGACTGGAAACAAAAAAATTCCACTTAAATAAAGACACACACTAAAACAAACAAAACAAAGGAAGCTGCAACCAGAGGTTATGATTCAACATGACCTGACATCTCTTGCTTGGAGGTTGAGTAGGCAAAGAAAAGTGGTAGGGGTAAAAATAAAAAGCAGATCATCATAAAACAGTTCCAATGCCATTATAAAATATAATATGGTGAAGCAGAGTTGTGGAAAGAAATCCAAGAATGCAAAGGTATAGAAAACTGGGCATACCAGTCTGCAGTAATAGAACTGGGAAAGAAAGCCCATAGAGAATCATGATGTGGAGATAAAGCGTTTAGGAAGCAGCTATAGACAGCTTCCTTGTTAGAGGTTTCCTTTCTCAGGAATAGCAACCAGAACCTGGAAGGAGTCTGAACAAAAGGAAAAAAACACTCTTCATTGTTGGAAGAGTAAATACAGGCCTAGAATGCAAGAATCACAATACAATTCTAGCTTCCTTCCACAGAAGCATGAATTACCTCTTCCTCAAACAACTTGTCCTTCTGACGAAGGATTTTGTCATACAGGTTCCCTCCTGCAATTAAACAAGAGACAGGTGTGAACTGCTTCATAAAGATCAAAGCTTGGCACCTGTGGCTACTAGGGTTTTAACAGGTTTTAACTGCTTCTTCCCCAAAGGAATCCCCTTCTTCTCTCTTGGCTATTTATAAAACTCTCTCCATCCTTCGAGGACTGTATCCAAAGTCGGCTTCAAAGATTCCCCTCCTAACAAATGAGGCTCAATGCAAAAATGGGAAGTATGACATTTTTAGAAAAGAGAAGAATAAAGGCCATTCCTGTATTATACCAATTAGCAAAATACCTTGAATGTCTTCATAATCAGAAGATTTTCTTTTCTAGAACTCCTTTTAAAGGAATCTGCAATATTTTTGTAACAACTCTCTGGTGTGACTATTAGAACATTTGGGCTATACCTATGATGCAATGTTTTGTACATACAGGGGTATCTCATCGACAACTTCCTTTCTTTACTACTTCACACTGAAAAGGTTTCCCATAATTTAGGGGACACCCTAGACTGTTTCCAATCATTACTCCTTTTACTAACTCCTTTCTGCAGAATAAGTCTGAACGTGCTTCTCCCTTTCCTTTATCAAGTAACAGACTGCAAATGATCACCATTCATTTTACTTTTTTTTTTTTTTTAAGATTTTATTTATTTATTCATGAGAGACAGAGAGAGAGAGGCAGAGGGAGAAGCAGGCTCCCAAGGAGCAGAGAGCCCGATGCGGGACTCGATCCCAGGACCCTGGGATCATGACCTGAGCCAAAGGCAGATGCTCAACCATCTGAGCCACCCAGGCGCCCCATTCATTTTACTTCTTACCTAAAACTATAACTCACACCTTAGTTCTGGCTCAGTTTCACAGCTTCTTTTCCTCTGCAATTTAGTAACTCAGTGTTTCAACAAATTTACCATTTGTTCTAGTCCCTCCTAACCACAAAGGAAGTTAACTGCTTGAGGCTTCTGCTACTTTAGAAATCTCTAATATAATCTTGTACATTTAGGGTTGATCAGAACCAACAATCATGGTACACAAGAGACAAGACAAAAAGAAGTCTAACAGCTTTCTCTTAGAGATTTAAGTGAAGTATATGCTGGGACTTCTTTAGCATGTAGCTTAAGAAAGGGCTTTGAGGGTTCTCCTATGTAATAAGGATAACAGCTAGTATAGTATGTATTAAAGATTTGCTACACACCAAGTACTATGCTAGGGGGTTTACATATTCATTTAATACAACAGGAGACAAGTACTGTTGTTAATAAACCCATATTAAGATGAGGAAGCTGAGGCACAGAGGTTTCTTGTGCAAAGTTACAGAGTTAAGAAGTAGTAGAGCTTGGGATATGGGTTTAGAATATATTCCTAGCAACTGAGCTAATACTGCTATCTTACAAGCAAAATGGTCCAAAGAAATCAGAGACCAGATAAATTAAGGCCATGCTTTACTATGTGTCATTTTCATTCAACTATGAATGAAAATTGAACCACTTTTTTGAACCACTTTTCAATTGGATAGTTTTGGCTGAGTCAATATAAGTATCACTTGTAAGATTTCATTAAATATTACATCAAGCAGTGCCAAGCCACACTGTCTCTAGCACCTAATTAGATGTCTAACATTAATGCCTAACTAAAGTCAATTCATGTGAAAAAACTTTGAAAAGTGAATGTAGGGCGCCTGGGTGGCTCAGTTGGTTAAGCGACTGCCTTCGGCTCAGGTCATAATCCTGGAGTCCCGGGATCGAGTCCCGCATCGGGCTCCCTGCTCGGCAGGGAGTCTGCTTCTCCCTCTGACCCTCCTCCCTCTCATGCTCTCTGTCTCTCATTCTCTCTCTCTCAAATAAATAAATAAAATCTTAAAAAAAAAAAGTGAATGTAAAATTCAACTGAAAAAATAATTTGAAGATGGAACTGTAAGCATTAAGAGAAAATTTGAGTATGCAGGGGAAAATCCCTCCCCTTATTTTGTAAATCACTTCAAAATTCTCCAAGAACTATTCTCTTAAACTATATGAGCTATTTCTCTTAAACTCTAGAAATCCATTTAAAGTTTTTAATCAACGTATATGCCTCTTATTTTCTTCTCCCCTTCAAGGTAAGTATAAGCACAACAATGTCTTGCCAGAGGAGGTCCCACTGAATTCTACCTTACCATTACAATATTCCAGCTCAATCAGCAGAGTGGTATTGTCCATGAAGTGATTGTAGTAGGCAATAATATTGTCATGCTGCAGCAGAGCCAGAATAACAATCTCATTCAAGGCATCACGACGTTCCTTCTCCGACAGTCGGGTCAAATCAACTTCCTTCCACACAACCAGTGAGTCATCCTACAACACAGTAACAGAGGTATTGTGCTTTCCTCTAGCCTGGCAGAGAATGAATCCACACCTTGATCTGTAAGCCTAGAAAGAAAACTTCCTAGATGGGCAGAGACTGACTTCTTTTATTTTTTCCTTTAAAGAAAATGGGAACAGAATTTAAAGGTTCTTCATACAATTGAGCATTATAATTTACTACAGGACTGGGGAAAGTGAAGCACTAAGATCCTGTTACATTGTTGCTACAGTTAATTTACATGATGTCAATTCCAGATAAAAATAGGAGCTAGAGGAGCTCTCAAAAGATTCTATTGACAGACATCATGACAAAGGGCTAGTCATGATAAACACTGTAGTAGGGCTAGAATACTGGAGAACTGGAGAGAGTAGTTATCTAGAGCTGACCATAGTTTCTTGTAAAATGGAAATATTAAACCTACCTCTAATTTTATAAATTTAGATTTCTCTAGTAATTTCTGTTTACACTTTCTAGATAGGAATAAGTCATGCCTAAGGGCTTAGAGTTCACTTCCCTCACCTGCCCTATTTTGCAACTCTGTATCTCCTGTAACTTTTACAAGTCACGTGTTTTCCTCTATCCCAGACAATTTATCTGCAGCTCCCAATATTCACTCTCTTTTGTAACACCCAAATTCTTTACTGATACTGCTCTCCAACCAGGCCAGGAGCATCCCCACCTAAATCACTCTCCCTATCCTTTAGAATGATTCTGCCAGGACTTTTAAAAACTTTTTTGGGGGATATCCTGATAAACCTTCTACTGTGCATTTATTCAGTGCAACCATTCCTTCGTTTTCAGAACTCATACACTGATATGATATTTGTGCATCCTTTTTCATTTATATACACATACAACTTAAATGCTATTTTCTTACCAAGAGGGTTAACTTGTCTTCCCAGTGAAATATAACCTTCTGGAGGGAAAGGGCTGCTTCTAATCAAACCTTTGTTAATTCACAAACCTAATAAACATTTGGTGATATGGATAATGCTATGCCAATTTTGGGAAGTGTAATCAAATTTAACATAAACCAACCTCAGTAATCAAGTTCAACATGATGGAAAGGCATGGGCGAGGAGATGTGAAACTCTGTTCTAGCCCAAGATTTACTTCTAATTTAAGTGTCAAGTGATTTAAATATACTGTCTTAGTTTCTTTAATTATAAAACAGAAATAGCAATGCTCATCTCCTCTTTTTCATACTGAGTACAAGTAAGAAAAACAGATACTAACAATAACCCTAAAATCATACATTAATGTTGCCTTAAGATAAACACTTGAAGATTTTTTCTTGCAACCCCCCCTCCTCCATCTTTTAGCCTTAGAAATGTGCTGACTTGGAACACACCCCAGAACTGCAGATGGATCACTTATGGATGAATCATCATCATCCAAAGTCTTCAAGTTTAAGACATTAGGGATCAAATCCAACTGATGGTTAGTTTTTGGAAGTAGAGTCACCACTACAGGGTTTCAGATCAGTATATGTTCTGAACTTGGGGGTCAGTGATCCACGAATCTCTCCAAAGGATCTGTATATATGCAATAGGGGATGGGGGAGGGAGGGATTACGTTTACATCAGGTTTTCAAAGGAGTCCTTCCTTGCCTCCCGCCAACCCAAGTTAAGAAACAGTGGCTTAGAATATATCAAAAAGGTATTTCCCATGCATAAACACTGCCGGATAAACACTGATGAAGAAAGCAACGACGACCCAATGATCTTCTAGAAAAATCTCCAATTAAGTAAGTGTTCATACCTGAATTTAAAGATAACGGCAAAGACTGCGGAGTTGCCACTGACGTGGGAATTTTGAAGCTATGCCCCTCCTCTCCACCCCGACCTTGGAGAGTTATACACGAGAGGAAGGAAGTTTTGACAACACTTCACATTCGTATGCCACTTTAATTTACAGTTTGCAAAGTACCTTCGTTCGAGTCTCAAAATGAAACTTAAAAAATAAAGATTACTTTTAGGGTAATTATCATTAACCCCAATTTACAGATGGGGAGCCTAAAGCTCCGAGAAGGCTCAATGCCTTGCTCAGTTCCCCGGGTTCGACAGAAACGACCAGTCAGTAAAACCAGTGATCTAACAATTCCCAGTGCAGGTGAGCTGGAAGAATGGAGTAGACCCTGAGACATACACCCTGCGGCCACGCAAACCTAAGTGAGGACGAGGCGCAAGCCGCAGGCAAAGCCGGGACCGGGTCGGGTCTGGGAAGCGGGGCGGCGAAGGAGGGCTGGGGCGGCCGGAGCCAGGGGCCGCTACCTCTGTGCGGCGGTACAGCGTGGCCTCCCCGAAGGCGCCGCGGCCCAGGATGCGGATGGGGATGTAGTGCAGCTCCTCCTGCTCCGCCGCGCCGCCGCCGGCTCGCTGCCCCGGGCCGGCGCTGGGCCCCGGGCCCGAGTCCCCGCCACCCCCGGACTCGCTCCCAAAGTCCGAGTTGATGGAATCGCAGTGTCGCTCGTACTCGCCCAGCACCGACATGATGGCGGCTGCGGGACCGGCCTGCGTGTGCCCAGCGGCGCTGGCCGCACTACGACTCTCTCGCTTCAGACGCCGGCCCGCGGCTCCGACAGCTCCGCAACCCAGCGAGGCTCCATGGTGGCTCCTTCCCCCTGACCCGGAAACAGTTCCTGGTGCTTCCGGCCCGGCGGGCTTTCCTCCGCCTTCGCTGGCCCCCTTGCTTGGTCTCGCGGCCCCGGCTTCCCTCCCTCCGGGCGGGCGGCGCTTCACGGTCGCTGGGGTGCACGGCATGGAACCGAAGGCCTCTGGCCGCGGCAAGGGAGTCGCCGACCGGTCTGTAGACCCCATCCGCAATCCCTGGCCAGGTTCCAAACAGCTTCGAGGTCCGGAAGTCGCGCGGTCGCATCTTGGCGCCAGGCCTATCTAAAGGGCAGTGAGTGGTTCCACGTTGGACAGTGCTCTTTGTTTAGTGAGATACTGAAGGTACTATAGTAAGCAGAAATATTTGCCTCCTGTCATCTTAGTCAGTGGGCCCAGTTATTGCTCCCAGAACCACCCTAGGTCCCTCTTCTATACAACTCCAAAACCAAAATATTTTAAGTCAATTCTCCTGACACTCTTTTTCCGGATTTGACATTTTCCTTTCATGTATCTTTCCAAATCTTTGATCGTCTCATCTCAGGCAACATTCTTTGAGTACAAGTGCCAGTGTATTTGAGGGTGGGAAAGCGACAATAAGACTCTCCTTACCAGCAAGTCACTAAAAGAATTGTAATACAGTGAAAAAACATGTTCCATCAGCTACTGACCTTGGGCAACTTTACATCTCCAAGCTTCTTTTTAAATCTGTAAAGCTGTAGGAATATGACCAACATCACAGAGATTAACAGCTAACTTTTATTAAGTGTTATGCTCCTGACACTATGCTAAAGGTTTTCTTTCCTTGAGTCATCCCACTTAATCCTCCTATTATTCTCATTCTACAGAAGGAACTGAGATAACCCAGGTTAAGTAACCTGCTCAATGTTACACAGCTACTAAGGGGAGCTGGGAGTCAAGCCCAGTAATCTGGATCCACATCATTCAGAGAGCATGTTTTGGGACTAAGAGAAAGTCATGTAGCTGAAGGCCAGGGTGTATGTGGGGTAGAAGCAAGAGAAGACAGGGCCTCAACTGTTGTGTTTGGCTTTCCTGTGGGCAAAAAAAAAAAAAATTATTCAAGATTTTTAAGCAGGCGAGTATATTATTAGTGACTGCATGACCTAATTTGCTGGGGAAGTCCCAGTTCATGCCTTTCCCCCAGGCATAACTAACAGAGCTTTATTTTGCTCAAGTCCAGGTCAGACAATAAACAACACAGTCACTTTACATAAGACCAAAGTTATATTTTACAAAGAACTCTGATAACAATGTGGAGGACAAAGACCAGAGGCAGGGAAACCACTTAAGAGGCAATTTATATTCTAAGAAGAGAAGAGGCACTGATGTATTTATCAGTGTGAGTAGAAAGGAAGTCCAGATTTGAGAAATCCATCTGAAGAACATTTTTTTTTTTTTAACTTTTTAAAAAGATTTTATTTATGGGGCGCCTGGGTGGCTCAGTCATTCAGCATCTGCCTTCGGCTCGGGTCCTGATCCCGGGGTCCTGAGATCTAGCCCCACATCAGGCTCCCTGCTTGGCGGGAGGCCTTCTCCCTCTCCCGCGCCCCCTTGCTTGTGTTCCTGCTCTATCTCTCTGTGTCAAATAAATAAATAAAATCTTAAAAAAAAAAGTTTTATTTATTTACCTGAAAGAGACAGGGGGAGAAAGCACGAGTGGGGTAGAGGGGAGAGTGAGAAGCAGTCTCCCTGCTGAGTAAGGAGCCTGATGCAGGGCTTGATTCCAGGACCCCAGGATCATGACCTGAGCCCAAGGCAGACGCTTAACGGACTGAGCCACCCAGGCACCCCCCATCTGAGGAACATTTAGAACTTTGTGATCAGCTGGGATGTGGTTGATGAGGTAAATGTGAGTCCAGGAGATTCACTCTGTGATTTTTAATGAGGTGGATAGTGATAGCAAGGAGAGGATAAAGACACCTGGTAGAATGGGTTAGGGGAGTTGTGAAGGATGAATTCACACTCCTATGACCTCTCTACAGCTTGACCCTTGTAAAGTATGATATCCTACACTCTGCATAACATTCCACATTGGCTCTGAATAGGAGAGCACACGGGGACTTCTGTCTCCCTCGATCTGTATCTAATACTTCTATTAGTATACTAGCCTTTATAATGATGGTCTGCTTATACCATACTTGTACTTTATGAAGCCTCTTTTCCACATCCAAAGCAATCCAAAGTAACGCAGCTCTCCCACTAGATCACATCACTTCTTTGCAATGCTTATCTGTAAAATACTGATGTCTTGTTATGTTCTTTATTGACTATCTCCATTCATTAGAATGTAAACGTCACAAGAGCCTGGATTTTGTACTCATTTACAACTATGCATCAGTGCCTAGAAAAATACTCGATATTATAGGCTTAAAAATTATTTGATGAATAAACATCAGGTTATTATCACCTACATATAGAACACTGTTAAAACCTAAATGCAAGGGGCGCCTGGGTGGCTCAGTCGTTAAGCGTCTGCCTTCGGCTCAGGTCATGATCCCAGGGTCCTGGGATCGAGTCCCACATCAGGCTCCCTGCTCCGCGGGAGGCCTGCTTCTCCCTCTCCCACTCCCCCTGCTTGTGTTCCTGCTCTCGCTATGTCTCTCTCTGTTAAATAAATAAAATCTTTAAAAAAATAATAAAAAAAATAAAAAATAAAACCTAAATGCAAGCCCGATTGATAACTCCTATCATATTTTATTTTGTTGGTTTCATTCCAGTATGCCAGATTATACAGATATTTTTACATTTTTCAATTAATTCATTCAACAAACAGTGCCAACTTGTGCCAGGTGCTGAGTTACAGCAGAAAACAAAATAACATGGTTCCTACTCTCATGGAGCTTACAGTCCATATAACAAATCAGTGCTATAGTAAGTATAAGCTTCTAGAAAGGTATTTAGGAGGGTCATCTTTCCAAGCCAACTTGCTGGGTTGGTGAAGTCTTCCTGGAGAAATAAGCAAAATGTTAAGTCAGTGATGGCTAACCAAAGTAGGAAGATCATTCTGGATAGAGGCCATTTCATCTACCTCCGCCTATTCATTACAAGGCACTTTGAGGATAGGTATTGCTTCTTATTTATCTGAGTCTTCTCCAGAGTTTAGCTCAGCATATTAAAAAGAATGTATGTTCAATAAATGTGGGTTTTTTTCAGTTAAAAGAATGGAAAAAATAATTACTTAAATTCAAAAGTAAATAGGTTTCAGCCACAGCTTATTTTTTCTGGCATCTTTGCCATGAGGAATGATAGTTTTCTGTAGCTTGGTTAGCCTGGTATTATAAATTGTTTTAGTTATAATGCATAGATACAAGCTTAACAGACAAATGTCCTGTTCTCTCAGAGAATACAGAACAGAAACACTCATGCTCAGTTCTTCATTATACTGGATATATATGAAACATCTGGCCTTTGAATATTCAAGTCCACAAATACTGAACATTCTAAAGGTATAACTGATTTCAAAATGCCTTTGGACAAAAATGGGTATTTCCATGTTATATTTTAACAAGGAAATAGGATGCTATATAGCAGAACTTCCCAGTTATGAATGGCAGATCCCTGGGTCCATAGAGTCACTGTAAAGATTAAAAAATCTACCAAAGTACCAAGCAAAGTCTGTACCTTCACTTTCCAATATGGTAGCCTCTAGCTACATGCAGCTATTAAACACTTGAATTGTGGCTAGTCTGAATGGAGATGTGTTGTAGCTGTAAAATGCACACTGGACTTCGAAGACTTTATATGGGGGTAAAAAAGTAAAATATTCGTGGGGTGCCTGGGTGGCTCAGTCGGTTGGGTGTCTGACTTCAGCTGGGGTCATGGTCTCGGGGCCTGCTTCTCCCTCTGACCCTCCCACTGCTCATGCTCTCTCTCGCTCTCTCTCTCATAAATAAAATCTTAAAAAAAAGTAAAATAGTCATTAATCATTTTTATATTGACTACATGTTGAAATGCTATTTTGGATATGTAAGGCTCTATTATTAAAACTAATTTTGCCTGTTTCTTTTTACTTTATTGTGGTACTAGAAAATTTAAAACTACACATGGGGTTTATGTTATGTGGGATACCACTACAGCAGACTGAATATGCAGAACACATACTACCATTTAACAAGTATATGATACTGTTGAGACTATTAAGTTCATTTAAAAGTTTTGCTGAATTCATTCATTGTTTATGTTCTCTAAAAGTAAATCATCAGTGAGAATTAAGACAATTAAAAAAAATTTTTTTTAAAGATTTTATTTGACAGAGACACAGCGAGAGAGAGAACACAAGAAGGGGGAGTGGGAAAGGGAGAAGCAGGCTTCCTGCAGAGCAGGGAGCCCGATGCGGGGCTCGATCCCAGGACCCCGGGATCATGACCTGAGCCAAAGGCAGATGCCTAATGACTGAGCCACCCAGGCGCCCCAAGACATTTTTGATATTAAATAGTTATACTCAATTTGTGAATCCCTACTTTATAGACTTTTTAGATTCACCAACAAATTTTGTTTTTTGGGGGAATGGGGGTTGAGGATAAATAAGATGCCAGCCTGTGAATGTGCAAAGCACTTCAGGTTGACTCTTGGAAAGGAGCTTTATGAAAAATATTCAACTGTAAGTAAAAGGAAGGAGAAAATGGCCCTAACCTGCTGGGTTGGGTTTTAAAGATTTTATTTATTTTTCAACAGAGAGAGAGAGACAGTGAGAGGGAACACAAGCAGGGGGAGTGGGAGAGGGAGAAGCAGGCTTCCCGCTGAGCAGGGAGCCCGATGTGGGACTTGAACCCAGGACTCTGGGATCATGACCTAAGCTGAAGGCAAACGCTTAACGACTGAGCCACCCAGGCGCCCATGGGTTGGGTTTTATATAGATGTGATGGGCAAAAAAACAAGTCCTGAGAGGTTCTGAATTGGGAGGGGAATTTTAAGAATGGAGGGTAAGGGAGAGGACACTCTAGGACTAATTCCAATAGCAGTTTCCAAAAGAAGCTACAGAAAATGCTTGGCTTACATAACCCTATTTTGCC